GTCCGTCGTCGGTCCGTCTGTCTGTAAACAATTTTTCAAAACGCTACTCCTCCTACAGTTTTGGTCTGATTTCAATATAACTTGGCACACAAGTAGACTACACTAAGATACATAATTTAGTGCATCTATTTCTATGAACATTGTTGCCATGGTTACTAAAAATAGAAATATCTGTGAAATTCCTTGAAAACGCAACTCCTCTTTCAGTTCTAGTCTGATTTTAAGATAACTTAGCACACAAGTAAACTACACGTAGATACATGATTTTGTGCATCGGTTTTTGATTTGGATGAACGGTGTTGCCATGGTTACTAAAAATAGAAATTTCTGTAAAATTCCTTTAAAACGCTACTCCTCCTACAGGTTTGGTCTGATTTCAATATAACTTGGAACGCTAGTAGACTACATTAAGATACATAATTTAGTGCATCGGTTTTTTTTATTTTTATGAACAGTGTTGCCATGGTTACTAAAAATAGAAATTTCTGTAAAATTCATTTAAAATGCTACTCCTCCTACAGTTTTGTTCCGATTTCAATATAACTTGGCACACAAGTAGACTACACTAAGATACATAATTTAGTGCATCGGTTTTTGATTTCAATGAATGGTGTTGCCATGGTAACTAATAATAGAAATATCTGTGAAATTCCTTGAAAATGCAATTCCTCCTTCAGTTCTAGTCTGATTTTAATATAACTTAGCACACAAGTAGACTGCACTAAGATACGTAATTTGATGAATTGATTTTTGATTTTGAAGAATGGTTTTGCCATGGTTACTAAAAATAGAAATTTCTGTAAAATTCCTTTAATACATTACTCCTGCTACAGTTCAGTCTAATTTGGCACATGATTAGACTACACTACATGACATAATGGTGTATATTGGTTTTTGATTTCAGTGATTGGTGTTGCCATGGTAACTTAAAATAGAAATTTCTGTGAAATACTTTCAAAATGCTACTAGTCCTACAGTTTTTGTTTGATTTCAATATAACTTGGCACACAAGTAGACTACATTAAGATACATAATTCTATTTATTGCTGATGTTGCGAAGTTTCAAATCCAAGTGCTACTTTTCCTTTGTTATACGTACAGACCAGTAGAGCTACAGTCTCATCAGAGACTTCTGGTTTATCTCTTGAACTTGGAGATTGACTTGCATTTGAGAAACTTTTACCTTTGCCATGGGGGGTCTGGATCCTCTACCCCGAATTTGCAGAGTTATGAAAAGTATATACTGAAGCAAATAAAAAGTGACTTAGGACCCACCACCACCAAGAAATAGGTTTTTTTCATGTTTGAAAATGGACTTTACATTTATTTATTTATTTTTTTTGTCAAGAAATTTTCTGGGTTTGATATGTTTGGAAAAGGAGTTTAGTTTTTTGTTGTTTTTTTTTTTATTCAAGAAATTTCTTTATTGGAAATTATTTGACTGGGCTGGACCACCCACCCCACCCCCTTCCCTGGAAAAAATTTCTGGATCTGCACCTGATATTATACTGTACGTGTACATAAATTGGCGTATTCAAAATTTAGCGCAATCACTGGGTATGGAGTTGTTGGCGAAATCATGAATTAGTGCTATACATGTCCGTGCTGTATATTGTATTTATAAATGATTTAGTGGTATTCATGAATTAGTGCATCGTTGTCTACACCAAAGCTGCTAAAATATAAAGCCCACTTTTTTAAGTACACATACAGTATTTTGTTGATATAAAATTTCTTATGAAATATTTATGAGAGCTTTGATATTTTTTTTAGAATTAAAGAAAATGCTTTCTGTTTTACTGAAATGTAATATGTTCACTTGCTCGTTTTCAAATGCTATAAGACTTGGAAAGTTCACTAGTTTTACCGAAGCTTGTTTGCTCTTTTGCAGCATCCCTTCCTTCGGTTAGCAAAGCCACTGGCCAATCTACAGCCACTTATACTAGCTGCCAAAGAAGCTCAAAAAGGACATTGAACAAGTTCATCTTATGCAATAATCTCTCTGTGTCTAAAAGGTATATATTATGTTGTCATTCATGTGGACTTGTGCATTATGTCATAATAAAATCTTGCAGTTGACAAGTTGCATATTGAAAGAACCAAAAAAAATTGCCCAAGATAATAAAAACTGCAAGAACTGAAAAAATTCAAATAGATGTGGAAGTTAAAGATTTTGAATTGTTGGACAATTTTTACCATTTCTTCTTAATATTCTATTTCTCTTATAATTTTTTTTCCCATTTTTTTCTATAACATGTTTAGACATTTTCAAAAGTTGCTACTCTGTAGAAATTTTTATCATATCTCCATTTGTCTTTTTCAGGTTGTATGATTGATTTGTAGAAGTTTCAGGTGTGAATGCAAGAAGCAAAGAGAGACCTAGCTCTTTCTCTCAGAACTATAAAATGAAGGGAACTGTCTACTTGATGTCTTTCAGTGACACTGCTTCAGAATGAGTGATCTAAATGTCAGCTTTACATGTCATCATGCCTGCTGGGACTAGCTGAGGGAAATGACCCCTCCCCCCTCAACAGACTCAGCCAAATTGTGATATTGGTGACCTTTATGTCAAATTTTTAAGCATTTTTGTAATAAGATATGTACGTAAGAATAAAATGTCATCATGATTTTTCTCATACAAATATCAGTGATTTTATTGTTCATTCATAGCTTTAATGTTCATTTTGTTTTTGTTATTGGTTACTAATAGTACAACTGCCTCTTACTTAGAATTTTTAAGTTATTTTTTTTTTTTTTGTTATCTGTATTTGTTTTTAGCTCTACTGGTCAGAGACCAGAAGAGCTTATGCGATAGTAAGGTGTCTGGCGTTTGTCCGTCTGTCTGTCTGTCTGTCTGTCCGTCTGTCTGTAAACAATTTTTCAAAATGCTACTCCTCCTACAGTTTTGGTCTGATTTTAATATAACTTGGCACACAAGTAGACTACACTAAGATACATAATTTAGTGCATCGGTTTTTGATTTCGATGAACGGTGTTGCCATGGTTACTAAAAATAGAAATTTTTGTGAAATTCCTTTAAAATGCTACTCCTCCTACAGTTTTTGTTTGATTTCAGTATAACTTGGCACACAAGTAGACTACACTAAGATACATAATTTAGTGCATCGGTTTTTGATTTCGATGAACGGTGTTGCCATGGTTACTAAAAATAGAAATTTTTGTGAAATTCCTTTAAAACACTACTCCTCCTACAGTTTTTGTTTGATTTCATTATAACTTGGCATACAAGTAGACTACACTAAGATACATAATTTAGTGCATCGGTTTTTGATTTCGATGACCGTTGTTGCCATGGTTACTAAAAATAGAAATTTCTGTAAAATTCCTTTAAAATGCTACTCCTCCTACAGTTTTGGTCTGATTTCAATATAACTTGGCACACAAGTAGACTACACTAAGATACATAATTCAGTGCATCGGTTTTTGATTTCAATGAAAGGTGTTGCCATGGTTACTAAATATAGAAATTTCTGTGAAATTCCTTTAAAACGCTACTCCTCCTACAGGTTTGGTTTGATTTCAATATAACTTGGCACACAAGTGGACTACACTAAGATACATAATTTAGTGCATCGGTTTTTGATTTCAATGTAAGGTGTTGCCATGGTTACTAAAAATAGTAATTTCTTTAAAGTCCTTTAAAACGCTACTCCTCCTACAGTTTTTGTTTGATTTCAATATAACTTGGCATACAAGTAGACTACACTAAGATACATAATTTAGTGCATCGGTTTTTGATTTCGATGAATGGTGTTGCCATGGTTACTAAATATAGGAATTTCTATGAAATTCCTTTAAAACGCTACTCCCCCTACAGTTTTTTGTTTGATTTCAATATAACTTGGCACACAAGTAGACTACATTAAGATACATTATTCTATTTATTGCTACATTTTGCAAAGTTTCAAATCCAAGTGCTACGTTTCCTTTGTTATATGTACAGACCAGTAGAGCTACAGTCTCATCAGAGACTTCTGGTTTTACATTAACAATGATGTCCATTTCTGCAAATTGGAATTTTTAGTTTAAACATCTTTTGAGGAACAAGTCATAAGCCATAGTATATGTATGTACCAATATTTGAACGGAAAAAGAGAAATGAATGGTTGTATATATACCAAGCTAGTTGACAATTCCAGTAAGAACTATAGAATATCATACAATTTTGTAATTTTTTGTCCAATGGATAACTAATATGTTATGCTTGACAGTTCTTGGTCTGTCTTGGTTGTGAATATTTCAAAAGGTCATTCTATGCATTGAATTTATTTAAACTGTCAAATAGATGGCACACAACACACAAATAGGAATTAAGTAAGTAAAAATAGGGAAAAGTAGATATAGAAAATACAAAAAACTGAAATGTCAAAATTAAATAATCAATTAATCACTCATTTTTAAATGTGCAGATTTTATGAAATATGTGTACAAATATGGGTATACCCTAATAATACCATGTATTATGAAATGCTGAAATGAAATAACAGATCTTGATCTAATTATATAGTTCAAACTTTGTATATGTATTATATTATAGAATACAATGTTTGAAAAAACATAATTTGTTACATTCTTTATTGGACAGCATGTTATGGGGGTTGTGTTTTCAAAGTCATTGAGACATCATAATCTGAAAGATAATTGGTCAGATGAAAATGAATCTACCAGTATTTGAAACAGCTACATGTATTTAAGGAATGTTTTGTAAGTGTTAAGTTTTTGTTTGTTTGGTTTGTTTGATAGTTTATTTATTTATTGTTTTTTGTTGGGGTTTTTTTGTGCGAGATGTTTATGAACTGAAATCATGGAAACGAAGAAAAAACAATCAAATGTTTTACAAACTTTACTAGTAAACCTATGACAAGGATTCCTTTATATAATACAGTAGGTTGTAAAGAAACAAAAGGCCTACAAAAGTTTGAAAATTGGTTCTACAGTGTCCTTTTTTTGAATTTTTTTTTTTTTTGAATAAAGATAATAACACTTCAATGTCATACCGGAAAGCAAAATTTTATACTTATATGGACCTTTTTCCTAAGTTGAGCAACTTAACACAATTATCAATTCATGGGGGGAAATGGGACAGTTGCTTTACTGGTGCTTCATACTTTTGTCAAAAAAAGAAGGTTTTGAATCGCTGAATTTGTGCCAAAAATCCAATTCTTAAAGGAAATTATTTACCAGGTACTCCATGTACCATTAATGTAATATTAGACTCTATGGATTAGTCCCATGATTTGCTGTATTCTCATTAATGTAGCATTTTGTATTTTGTGGGATACTATTTGTGTCAGAGATTGTTGGTAGGAATGCAGAGCAGCTTGGTTGTTCCCTGTAACCTGTTGACAGATCCCTAGGATCTCCCATGATATGTCTTTTTCATCTCCGAGTATGTGCGTCTCCAGATGATGGTGTACAAGAACCTGTAAATCATATAGAGCTCTTTGTGTCCTCACTGGGTCTACATGTCTGTAACACAAGATCTCCAACATGTGTAAAAGAACAAAGAGGGGGATACATAATCCAGGATATCTACACTGTAATCCAGACTGTTGTTCTGGCACTAATTCATTAATGTAACAGATTTCATTGTTCAGAGAAACATCCCATGTTACAGCCTTTCTCATCTTTGTAGACCAGGAATGTCTTCCTATAGCCTCGCTATATTTCTCTGCATTTACATGTACCCCATACACTACATATGGCTGTGCTAACTTGGCTTTTATCATCTCTATCACAATTGAAGCTCTCTGGTATCTGAACGTCTTGTAATAGTACATAGCAATGTACAACATGTCGGAAATGAACCCAAACTTGGCAGCTAATTTCAGCATGTAAAGGGACCTTTTGTCTGTTAAATATATCACTTTGTTCATGCTAGTATGCACCATGAGTGGTACAGAATCAGTTAAAAGGTTGAGTGAAATAAAAGCTGTGCTCTGGAGTATAGAAGCTGTACGCTTCTGTAATATGAGATTCTGATATTGAGTCAGGGGTAAAATGATCAACTTTCCTACAGAGTTGAGGAACTTCATACAGGGGTGTAGGTCATGCATGGTTAGATTATTGCGATATATCTCACTGAATAGATCTACTTCAAACATCACCTTGGAAATCAGAGTGTGTTCATCTGTACAAATAGATTGCCTGGGATTTTGGAGGACACTTATAACACAGGACCTGATGGATGGACTGTAAAGCAGTGATGCTAAACCCTTCTCATACAACTCATGAAGTCTTATGAACAATTTTTTTTGTGCTTCACCATGAATATTACTTAGAAACATGTTGTTTTCTGGAATAAAAAAATTGGGACAGGTGCCTTCATACACCCATTTCAGGATAAGTTTAAAACAGATCCAGAAACACTGCAGGAGATTTTGGGGACACCAATAAGGCATTATGTTTTGTTGAATTACCCAAAAAACAGCTGTCTTCATGTGATAAGAACACAGTAATTTATTCTCATCACTTAATCCACTGTTAATGCATTCTTTTAAGAATAACTTAAGCAGACCGTATGTTAAGAACTGGCAATGACTCATTGAGGAAACTAGATAGTGCTCTGCCACAGAGAAGGAAATTCTCCATTCTTTTTCAGCGTGATTTCCTAGTTTGTGTCCTACTGCTACAAAGTGGCATCCATTTCTGACTATTTTATCAATGATAGGAGGCAGGGGCCATGAGTGACATCTGTTTATCCATTTGGAGGCATGAGGGGGCCAAAAGTCACAGAAAAAACATAGGGCTGTGTCATATTCTGCCACCCCAATAGCACCATTACCACATGGACCATGTTCCCTAGAATCAGGCACAATAGCAGAATGTGTGATATGTCTGAATTCAGAACTTGATATATAGAGTCTGCCATTGATTCTTATACATGCATTCTTTATAAATTCCCAGTGACTCTGTGTCAATAATTCAAGTAAAGCAAATCCAGGTGGACTATCAGAACAATCACAGAGAATCAGTGTTTTTCTATTTAAGTCATAATTGTGAGCCTGGTCTAAGTCCCAAATTATATTATGGTCATTTGGCCAGAACATCATGTCTATATCAGATCCCTTTAGCCTGAATCCTTCTCTAAAACTTCCACTAGTCATCACTACCATTTCTTCACTTGTAAACATGACTTGATTTTTCATCCTCTCATCCATGTCTAGTAGTTCTCTTCTCATGGTCACCTGTTGTGAGGTCCCCACTATTTGACACAGTCTCACAAACACCGACTCTGATAAATGTTGTATACCCAAATCACTGTAAAAAAAAAAATAGATATAATACATTGATATTTGTGTGGGAAAAACTTAAATTTTGGTTATTTACTCGTTGGCTGTAATACCTTCAATGTAACGAGTCCAAATTAATATATCATGCTGGGTATTCAGATCGACACTCAAAACTGGGGTTGGACACTACTTACCAATAGATCCGGGTCAACAGATTTGAAATAACATTTTGGGCGAGTATAATATTGAGTTAATGTGTATCAAGGCCTAAGTATACAGGTCATTGTTAACATTTTTATTGTTCAACGCCTCAAGAATTACATCCTAGTGGTTTGTAGAATATATTAAGAAATATGTGCTTCTGATATATTCATAAATAGATATACAAATCTCATTTTTAATACTTACATCCAACTGTAGGAAGTCATTTTCAAATGATGTTCAGTAAAGAGGAAGATTCTATAAATAGAAGAGGAAACCCCCTGAGTTACTGAGACTACATGTTTCATATTGTAGATAAAGTAAGTAATTTCTACAACATTTTATCTTAAATTTAGTTGTTGTGCACATGCATCTTTGTTGATTAATTTCAATGAGCACAGCACTGAGCAGTTGTACATGTATTTAAAATTTAGATCTACACTATAATTTAGATCTACAGTATAATTAAGATCTATAATTTTATGAGCCCTCCTTTCAGGGTGACACTCGCACATATTAACTTACTCGGTACTGTAAATCTAGTTCCACATAATTATGTAGTTTAAATTTCATTGTTAAAATTCTGTATTCATGAGAAAAAGTTTAGTGACCAAAGTTATATATTTAGTAGGGTTGCATTAAAATCCTGTAAGTAAACATTCTGGTTTTAGCATTAGGAATTTTTTATTAAATGTAAAAATTACAAGAAAATTGACAAGAAATTTCCCGTTAATTTTCCAATTCCATCACCTTGATGGACAAAATTGATTTTTTTTTTTTAATAATATTTCAAAAGGATTTCCCATTTCATATTTCTTTATTGTACTTTCTTATTTATTTATTCATTCAATCATTAATTTATTCTTATACAATTGGATTAAAAGTCATGCAGATTAATCATGTTAATTGAAATGTGAAGGGAAAAAAATCATATCAAACAATAAAATTTTGTTGTAAGAGACCAGAAGTCGCTTAAGTGGCCATAGCTTGAGAATCTCGCGATACTCGGGTGATTGTCATGGCCCATGAGCCTCGCATTAAAAAGTTCTCAATTATAATTAGGATTATCCCCCTTTACGAGCTCTCGCCTTTCAAAAGAGAACGTTTGGTCATTTTGCCAAGGTGCAATATTTGTATAAATATGGCGGACCAAGTGCTTTCTTACGGCTAGTGTACAGCTCATGAATGAAAAACATTTCTTTTTGTGATCTAGGACAGTAGAACATATTAACTTGATAATGTAGGACAATATGTGATTCTCTTTTCACATTTCTTTAATGGTAAGTGTAACAACCTTTGAAAATGAGAGGATAATAGAATTGGTTTGTTCCCGTTTTGCACACATTTGAATTTCAGGTATTGAAAAAATGTGTGCAAAACGGGAATTTGTCTAGGTAAGATAATTACTTAATTGCTATAGTCTATACCATAGTTGTGAATTTGGAGTAAGAGATTCTACGGAAAGAATAGGAAGAAAAAATGTTAATTTTGCACTTGATATTTTGACTTATTTCTTGAAGAAATCATTTTAAAACATAAAAAAATAACACAAAACAATAATTATATTCACATGATACTAACTAGACAGGTTGATTTAAGATTGAATTCAGTTACTTATTCATTTTATCTTTATGAAATAAAGAAACATGGTGAAATGCGATAGGGACATTTGTCTAAACTACCAACTTCATCTTCGGTTGGATAAGTAAAATTCTCATAATGTATTCCCTTAAATATTTATTATAATGCATTGGTAAAATACAGGTAATTCCAGTTAAACAGGTCTAGGAAAATCACTAGCTATATAGCTAAATCTACCTATATAGCTTTATTTACCTATATAATATAGCTTTATTTAGCTATTTCAGAGTAAATTTCTGTTTTATGAAAAGCAGACAAAAAGTCACATAATGAGGCAGTATTAGTTTTCAACTTTGAAATGGACTGAAAACAATTCACCAAAAACCCACTTTTAAAAATGTTTCTCCTTTTGTGCAATTGCAATCAAAGATCTAAAAGTTTTGGGGCTATGTATAACAGTTAATCTGTGAATAAGCAGCTACTTTAACAAAGAAAAGCAGTTTTGGTCAACAAGATAATTGATTGGTAATAATTCAGCACAATGCAAGGCAATCCCACTTAGTCATGCCTCATAGCACTTCCAGTAATGGACAGCTATCCAAACAATAGAGATGCATTTTTTGGTTAAAAAGTGTTTAAAAGAGGCAATGTTTTTACTATCTATGCCCTAGGTTGTTTTTATCAAACCTTTTTAAAAAATATCAGCCATAATTTTCATGCGACTTTTTGTTTGCTTTTCATAAAACAGAAACTTATTCTAAAATAGCTAAATAAAGCTATATTATATAGGTAAATAAAGCTATATAGGTAAATTAAGCTATATAGCTAGATATAGTGATTTTCCTGCACCTGTTAAATCCTAGACGAAGATCAGACTATAGTTGCTATCAAAACATATTTCACACCTATTGTTCTATACCTAATTATCAAATGTGTGCAAAACGGGAACACACCATAGAATTATAGAATGTGTCAAGTGGTCTACTCTCAGCAGGTCCAGCACAACCTCTTGATTTAGCTATATAGCTTGATTTAGCCATATAGCTTTATTAAGCTATTCAGAATAGCTTGATTTAGCTATTTTATCACACTTTTTTTCTTAAATTTGTTATTTTCTCAGCATGAACAAAAAAGTCGCAACTTGGTGCAGTGATAATATTCAACCTTGAACTCTTCTGAAAATAATGCATGTAAAAATCACTCATCAAATTACGTCTCCTTAAGAGACTTTGTACTCAAAGTTCTAAAAGTTTTGGGGCTATATTAAGCAATTGATACCCTTATTTCTTCATTGAAATTATAAAAGAGGCCAATTATGGTCAACAAGATAATTGATTGGTAATAATTCAGTACAATGAGAAGCAATTATACTTATCCACGCCTCAACACACACAAGGTGGTGTACAGTTACTCAAACAATGGAAATTCATCTTTTGCTTAAAAGTATTCAAATGCTGCAATGTTAGAACTATCTTTGATTTCGGTTGTTGTTTTGATAGTCCATAGTACAAGGCTCGGGGATAAAAAAACACACAACTCGTTGGATAAAAATCATATCCAACTACAAATCATGGGAGATCCTATATTTATACACTTGCGAGAAATGTCCATGAGTTTCACAACCTTCTCTTTTCATGAATATTTCTTGCCATGAATCAATTATTTAAACATGATTGTATTGATGCAGAAGGTTTCCTCAGTCATGAAAATTAAAATTACCGGTAATTGTTATGGATGGATTTCTAACCGACAAATCACAAATAATGTTGCTGTATGGTATCCAAGCAGAGATTTCCAAATAATCCATTTAGGGAACTTTATAGTGAAATTGATGCTGGTTAGATAGAGAAGTTTCAAATGAATAGGCCATTTTATATAAATCAGGCTATAGCTTTACAGTGTTTACTTGACTGAACATTACTGAACAAATCACTAGAATTGTTCCAAAATGAAAGTGAAAAGCTAAGAATCAACATTCATAATATATATGTTATTATTGCAATAATATATGGCCAAGTCTACATACTGAAGTGATAAACCATATATTATATCAGACTTGCAACAGTTAAAAATAAGTTTGAGCTTCAAGCACTTGTTTGGTCCAATACCTGTATCTAGTGAGATGGTTCCTCACTGCCTAATGGAAGCTATGCCATTGAAAATTTTAGGACCAGTAAAATGCAATTGATTGCAGAACTAAAAGAATGATTTTTAATCAATTGGCAATCTCGGTAAATCACTTAAGTATTAAGCTACTATATATTTTTCAGATTCATAATGCCTCTTCAATCAACACTTCACTGATTTAAATCTGCATGAAGAAAATGTCACATCGCTATCAGCATGACTCAAGATCACCCAGTGCTGTGTTTGTCCCTATGCCAGTGGACAGAGAGGCACTGGGGGAAAAGAAGATGGAGGCATTACAACAAGAGATAGCAAGGCTGGAGAATGACCAGATGAAGAGGAAGGAACTAATAAACAAATTATCAAACATGCAGAGGACTCAGAATAGAAATAAGAAAGAACAAGACAGACTACTGGTAGGTTGTGACTCGTTTGAATGGAGTACACACTACACAACATTGACTCATGTCAAATGCAGGTTGAATAATTATTAATTTTTTCTTGCAGTTGAACATTTTTTTTAAGGTTTTGAATAATATTTTTCTTCTTTTTAACAGAAAAAATACAATAAGAAGAACATGCTGACAGATGAAATAGAACGCTTGTATGGAGAGGACACGGGAAGAAAATTTGGTGAGACAAATATCCATTATTTGGAAAAAAAAATCACACCTTGTGAAAACTTCTTGTTCATAAAACTCTAAAATCAGATTCAATTTTCAAAAGAAGTGAACAATTTTAGTGATTTTTATTGATCTCGCCCTCATTTTATTTAGCAAAATCTCCCGCTAGCCCTCGAGTGATAGATACGGTGATGGCACAGAGAACAAAAGAATTCTCGCTAAAACAACAGGAAAAAGAACTGGAAACACAGTAAGAACATTTCTCTTTGATTTTCTACTTGGATAAAGATTGGTCTCTGGAGCTAAGGTCAAAGTCAAAGGGGTAGTTTTTTCACAAAAAAGGAAATTTTCATCCTTAGGTGATATTGGTATGGTTGACACATCTGTGGAATTTGAGATCTTTATTCAAAGGTCAAAGTCATGATGGTTTATTTTCGCATGAATACACCTTTTTATGGGACAAAAAAGTGAAAAACATCAATATATTGCAACACACAGATTTCATATTCACCAGTCAATTAAAAAGATACCTATAGATTTAAGGCCACTTGTTCAAAAGTCAAGGTCAATTACAAGATAAACATTAATATAAAACCTATTGCAAGGCTCTGTATTATGACTTTTTGTGTTTTCTAGTTTTCATGTAATTTTCTATGATTCAATTTTTCTTTGAGGGAACACGGGAATGTTACATAATATAATACAATGAACTTAAGATTTGCAATAAAAATAAATGAAGTTTAAAAAAATATTCTTTATATTTAACAATAACTCTATAAAAAATGCTAAGCAACAGAATTTGGAAGTAGAGGACAGATAAATATGCTCATACTATGCATCTTAAATCTTTACTGTCATGGGGATAGTTTTTGAAAGATTTAAAGAACAAAATCGATTAACACTTTATCTTTCATATATTTTAGATACTTGTTGAAGGAAAGAGAGAGATTACAGATGGCCAGGGACAGAATTCGAGAGCAGCGCTATGCTCTCCTCGGCACTGCTGGTAAGGATCAACCTCAGCTTGATGTAATATCTTTTTTAAAGGGAATGGGTTTGTATCGTCGATACGAGCCACCCTCACTCACTCCTCTACCATGGCAACGTCCACGTTACAAAAATGGAAAACGGGTCAGATATGTTGCTGTTCCGTTGTTCAAGAGTTGGTAATAGATGTGTAGGGAGTCTTCTGGTGTTGGTGCTATGTTTTAATTTATAACAATGTTGCATGATAACACTGCATGTTGTCTGTTGTCTTTGTTACTACTGCATGTTATTTGTTGTGTTGGGATGCTAGTATGGGAGTAGGGTTAATTAGTGCTTGACTGTGAGAACATTGACATACTTCATAATTGAGGTTGTGTGGTGCATGTTAAAAGACATTTTCACTCATATGCTGTGTAATTGGTAATTTCTGGTATTGTCCAATTTTAGCACATAATTAGTATTCAGTCAAAATTACTATGAATACTATTACAAAATACTCAAAAATCATGTACGGTTGAACTTCGGTATCTTGAACACTGATATCTCAAATACCATGTATATGTCGAAGTGATTTGGAAGTCCCAATCATTTTTTTCTTTATGTATTTTAACCTCAAATCCTCAAAATTTCGGATATCTCAAGGTTTCATCTCAGTCCCATCAAGTTTGAGATAACGAGATTTGACTGTATCTTTGTTGTTCCTATTTGATAAGATTGCAAAAATTATAAATGCAAAAACCATATGCTAACTGTTGAAAGATCAAATCACAGAAAAATTGAAACACAGGAATTATCCATTATGCACATAAATGTGTTATAGATTTTCTTGCCATATCTTAGCTTCTTGAGTCCATTATACATGTAGTGAGGTTTTGATAAGCTGTAAACATTACACATATTTTATGATGTGCAGAATTTTAAAAATGCAATATCTTTTTACACCCATAATTCACACTTTGGTGACTGGAATTGATTTTCGGGACATTCATTATCCACTGAATTTAAATTTACAAAATTCATATGATAGAAGATATCAGTATGCTCCATTATGAAGTACAGTCACATGCATGTTTGCCTTTTTACATGTAGACGAATCTTAAGGCAACTAGACCTTTTCATTTCCATTACTTGTACCTATTCATTGTTGATTTACGCAATAAAGTGCTAGAATTCCTCGTGTCTTATTTTATTTGCCAAGGAGTAAATCATCAATTTTGTTATTTGTGTTGGGAAAATAAAATAATTTGAGCCATAACCTTTTCATTTTGAAATTGAGATATCTATACATGTAGGTTATTAAAAGAGGATATTCTTTTCTATAGCAGAATTCATAATAATCAATAAATAGCATTACCAAGGGTATGTAGTCCAATAAAATTTTAAGGAGACATTTTGGTTCATTGTGGAAATGGACATGAACCCAATTTTATTTTTTACCCCTTATATTGGCTACATGCAGTTGTCAGTTTGGAAAGTTTTAATGTGGTGATATAAAAATGGAAAATTCTCAACAAAATATTTCTATCCAAGGAAAAATTGTCAATAACTTGAAATAGAATATAGACTGTCTAGCAAGAAAAAAAAAATTACAGTGTGTTTCATTTATATGTATTAAAGGTGGTTTAAATTGCCTCATTTATTGGTAAATTCTAATACGACTTTTATGTCCTTTCACAAAGAACTATTTTTCTTGAACTACGAACAAAATACTTCTGAATTCAATAATTAAATCTCGACTGTTGAGTAGATGCAAAATTCAGTTATCAATTGTAAGGATACCTTATAGAGTCATTTTCAATGCTCATTGAGAAAATAAAATTAAATGCCTTTGGTAAGAAATTTTCTTTTATAGTTTTGAATTTAAATCCAAGATGTATATAGGTTAGCATGCTATTGACAGAATCATTTCAAACTAGAAAAATCAATGATGTTGTGATCTAGGTCACTTGACTTGGGCTTTTATGCTTCTTTAAATATTTTATGAAGCAAAACAAAATGAAAAGATCACAAGGTTCCAACAATGTCTTAAACTTTCCCCTACATACCTACTTAAATATATTAGACCTAGTTAGGCATATACATAAAATGGGCTTGAAAAATTGTTCCATATTGTGCAGGGTACTGTGGTACCATCATTGTTTGAGGAGACCAATGATTGTGGATTTGATGGGTCACCCTTACCAACAAATTTACATCCTCATGAACAATAACTGTCAGTGTATCAGTTCAATAAATTCTCATTATGTAACTGCGTTAACCAAGAAATTACATGTCCACAAACCAGAAAAAAATTGCTTGCCTTCCAACATTGACCATTAGGAATTAAAATGATTACACAGTACTTGAATTTAATGTTAAGTATGATAATGAAGAAATTGAAAATACGAATAAATAATTGATTAATTGTATGTTTAAAGAAATTCAACTAGAAAATATACTCAACGTATTAAAAATATCTTTGAACTCAACATGTCTATACAGTTGTAAAAATACCCAGTTTCCTTAGGTATTGGAAACAATTAATAAGCAAATTAATCAATACATGTCAGAAATCTAAACTTTCATTTTAAACTGTCATCTCAAAGAGATCACTTTCTTGCTGAAAAGATCTTAATCAATATAAATTTTCTAATTACCAAGGAAAAAGATAATTTCAAAAATTTTATCAGTCATATAAAATCCAGGGGTCTTCTAATTTCATATCTGATAGAAGTAACAATTTTTATGAAGAGTTTTTTATCTATATAAGATTACAACATATTGTGTAAGAAGATTTATTGATCTTCTGGATGACGTAGATTTTTTTCTTAGTTTGCAAGTTACACTTCTAAATGAAGTAAAAATTTAAGCAAGGTTTTTTTTTTATTTTCTTAGTGTACAAAATTTCATTAGAGTCGACGTCACTGTGGTATTTTTTAAAAATTCTAAAAGAAGTTAAATAATAAACATGTGTCACAAATCAATCTTTGACGGTCAAATTCATATACGTAGTACTTATAGTGTATGTGTACTCTGAAATTTTTTTTTGTATGTTAACATCTTCATTCAGTGTTTGAGTTAGCTACATTTACTTGTTTAATAGCCATATGATTTTTTTAAGCGAACAAAATTTGTTTTTTCTATGATACTTTATCAGTCGAGTTTTTTGTTTTACAGACAGTGCCATGAGTGAGCCTGACTATCACTACCGATCATCAAAGATGGCTGAGGACTCAAGCAGGATGAGTATGCGAACCCCAAGACAGGAGAGCAGCAAGGTCCATAGCGTGGACTCATACGTCCAGCAAACTATTAATACACTACCTCAGACCATGGACAGGATAGCACAGCTCAGGTCAGATTAGGCAGAGTTATGAAAAATATCAGGCTGTTTTGTGATCCCTCTATTTAGCCTACATGTATAAAAGAGACAGCTAGAGACTATTTTCTTCATCTTCCTTTAAAGTGCTGATACCATTTAATAAGTATTAAAGTATTAAGACAGACAGACAACGTTCCCTTTTATTGTAAGAGATACAATTATACAAACAGTAAAATTGTATTTGTTATACAGAACTTGGTGCTGACTTTTGTCAATTGTTTTTCCCCCCAGACAACAGGTACAACAGCATTATGTGTCCTATGAGAAGCCTTACCGTGGGGAACTAGGGATACAGACCTACCAACCTCATCAGATGAAGGATTACTTCATGGTATACACAGCTATTATACTTCTCTTATACAAACATAACCAAACAAAAGTCTCCATTGTGTGGATGCTATACCCTGGGCATTGGTGTCCTAGGTTAAGGTTTTTGGAGCAAATTTATTTCAGAGTAACTTTGTACACTCTTTATTGATCAGAGTTGCCTGGATGATGTATCTAGTATGTTTCATTGTATCATTAATTTTTCAGATGCTTTATTTTTAGCCAATATTTTCCAGAAGAAAGGCCAGACTTATGTTATTGGAGTAGGTTTGAGTTTTGGAGCAGGTTAAGGTTTTAGAGGTCTCATTCACAAGTATTACTACTGGTACATGCCCTATAGTGGCTAAACTTGTGTGGATGATGCATCTAAGGATGCACACTACCAGACTTGTTTTGGATGCTGGATCTGACCTACATTTTTTGGATAAGTGAACAGGTTAAAGTTTTCAGAGCAGGCCCATTCCCAAGTAACTACAAGCCTTACCTGAACCAAATTTATATGGGTAATGAAGCTGGATCTGACGTACATTTTCTGAATGATTGAACAGTTTGAGGTTTTGTAGCAGGTTCATTCCTAGGTAACTACAAGCCCTGCCAATGCCAGACTTGCATAGATGTTGTATATTGGGATACTTTACTTACATATAGATAACATTCATTAAGGAGATCGATATAGCTGTAATCTTTGATTACCTAAGTTTTATCCTAATTTTTAGGTAAGGGGTATTGTGGATGACCTAGTCAATGATTTCCTAGACGTGTACTTCCCAGAGGCAGTACCTATGGTTGAAAAAGAGGCTTACTTGTAAGTACCCATCCTGTTTTCATTTTACTTTAAGCATATTGTTTTACCTTAATTGAGTATCTGGGGAGTTAGATTAATGTTTTTGTTTGTACACACAGTGCCACTATTGAACAGAGGAAGAGAGAAAGACAACAGAAACTGCAGTCGGTTGCCGAGAGGAAGGCTGTACAACTAGTGATGGAGAATATTGTTCTGGATGTAAGGAAATTTTAATTCGATCTCGGTCTAATCAGCATGAAGACATGAATTAAAGCATAAGAGAAAATTTCATCTTTGTTAATAATTATGGAAGTGAGGTGATGTCAGTCTCATATTTTTATATCAGCATCCAATGAAAGGCACCTTCTTCTTATCATTTGTCAAATAGCAAATGGATATCGCAAAATCAGAGGAAGATGGTACTTGCAGTACAAGTACTTATGGTACTTTGATTTTTTTGCCTCTAGGTGACTGGAGAGATGTGTTTGGAGGTAGCCCAGGAAGACCAACATGCTGAGGGAACTATTAGGAACATTGTTGATATGACAATCATGAACAGAGCAGAGGTTTGTTTATTTATAAACACTCAACTGTTTTTTTTTTCTTTGGTAGTATTTTGGATTCTTTTTTCAGCAGTACACAGTTGAACTTTGGTATCTTGATCACAGATATCTCGAATACCATGGATATGTCGAAGTGATTTGGAAGTCCCACCTACTTATTCTTTAAGTATTTTACTCTGGATATCTCAAATCCTTGGATATCTCGAAGTTTTTTCTCGGCCCCATTGAGTTCAAGATAACTGGGTTTGACTGTAATTGAAAACAAATATGGGTAAATGATTT